CCTTCATCATTTTAAGCTTTACGTAGGTACGAGGGAGCACAATGTCCTAAGTCAGTGAAATCCACTCGTGCAAATAGTTACAACAAACCTGCAGCACTTAACACTTCTAGCACACGTATGACAGAAGAATGTTCACTCTGTGGTGAATGCACTTAGCACAAACTTACTATGTTTATAGGTGAACCTCTGGCATGTCCCACTTAAAAAGTTAGTACTGCAATGCTCGTTAAATTGTTCTTAACTAAGCCACTGCAGGAAACACTGGTACGCCAGCAGCACTGTAGAACTAAGTGCTTGTAAAACGAATTTCTTGTTTCTCTTGTAACCTTGAGTTCAAAAAATCTATAGTGATTATTGACTCATACACTGATATAAGTAGTACAGCACTTGTGGGGGGGGTGATATGGAAGGTATTCAGGTTTAACTCATGGAGCTGGAGCACAGATTCAATTCCCTAGATCAAGAGCCCCTCACCAGCGTCAAGGAACCTCCCTTGAGGGGATATGCAGTAGCAGGGTATCTTTTTTGATGAAACGTTTCGCTTACGCAGTAAGTAGGCTTTTTCAGTCAAATACAGAGGGAGCAGTGGTAATGAAATAATGGTGAGAGTACCTTCATTTCCTTGGATCAAGAGTCCTACACGGGCTTGAAGGAAGTCGAAGCAAAAAAAAGAAGAAAAGAAAAAAAAATACTTGTATCATGTTAAGTCATCTGGAGGTTTGTTGTGATATTCGATGTTGTCTGAGGCTGCCACTTCCCACTTAAGAGTAGTAGATCCAGGGGAACTGGATATTGTACTCGCTACCCAAGGACACACGATGGTGTGGATGACTCGTTCGTGGTCACAATAATATAAAATACTGCTCGTTGAACTAGTACACCAAATAGGGACTAGAAAGATTTTTTTTTTTTTAATTTTTATTTAAAACATGAACAAATACAAGAATGTATAAGAGTATAATAAAATGAAAGACTATACTTGATATAAACAATAACCTCTATTACACAATCCCAGTAAAAAAACATAAACCCCTACAGATAATGGGGGCCCTATTACAACCGTATACACAACCACAACATATCCCACAAACCCACCTTTTACAATAACTATTGTGGAAAATACTGTATATATTTTCCAGAAATACAGTAGTTATATGTATTATAGATGCCATTTCTGTATTTAATAAAAGTTATGTTATCGAAAATGGGAAGCTGTGCCCGCGCGAGGAGACTCGCAATTGTTTTTTTTTGAATTGAGTAACAAAACGTTAGTTTAATAATGTGAAGAATTTTCGTGCTCTAGAGGTAAAATTGGGTTGACACCTCTCAAATAGGAGGCAAAATTGTTGGATATGCCCTTCCTGCATAAAATTAGATATCAGACGACTGGAAAAGACAGCTCCAGGAACCTCAGATACGCTATCTAGATTCGTGTTATTTAAATTTTGGCCAGTATTTTCATAAAAATTTTGTTAGTGAGGTTTTTCTGGGTATGATACACCTTGATCTCCAGTCAAAATTGGTGAGTGATTTTAAGATATTCTCCCTTCTGTTGTGATGTGTATATATATAATCCTTTTTTAATTTTAATATACAGTTCCACAAATTTATATATTTTTTCCAGCATTCCTGGTGATACATATTTTATTTGTAATTAATGGATCCAGAGCAACTTGTGGATATGACAGTGGTAGGTATCGAAGGGGGACATTTTTTGCGACCTAGGTGTCCCAAATTCCTATTTGTCTAACTGATAAATAATATATTATCTTCGTTCATTTACTGTTATGTACATAATGATGCATTCAGATAAATTCAATTTTCCAAATTTAATTTGCCTGTTGGTCCTTCTTGAACTGGAGGTAATTAGTGAAGTCATTAATTAGTTAATTACTTAATAATTATATGTGAAATGACAGAAGAAGGTGGATGTTAAGTTCACAAATTTACTTAATGTGTAGTGGATTATAATTATTACAATATTAATTTGGATAAGCCAAGTGTGGCTAAAGATTATATTGTGTATAATATTAATTTTGCTATGCCTAATTCTGGCAAGGATTTATATTAATGTGTATAATATTAATTTTGCTATGCCAAATTCTGGCAAGGATTTATATTAATTTGTATAATATTAATTTTGATGAGCCAAGTCTGGCTAAAGGTTTGTTTGTATTAAGTTACATTTAAAATTTATATTATAATTTTCTTATATGTAATTGCTAAGCTCAAGTAGCTAGGATTTATTCAAAGGTAAGTTGTATTAGTGTTGTAAGTTGTAATCAGTGTTATTAATTAAGTTGAATTTAATACATTGTATCATGGCTGAAAATGAGGAAATTAATGTAGAAGACAAACATATGGAATATAGAGCAAAGAAAGCATCAATACAGGCTAGAAAAGTTCATGTAACCAAGGCATATAATAAGTGCTTGGATATAATGAATCAAGAAACTGTGAATACTGATGATTTAAAATTGTATTTAGATGCTTTAGGGAATAGATTCATACAAATTATATTACAACAAATATGAAGGAGATTTGTTAGTAAACTGTGTAGATAAGACTGAAGTAGATCTTATGATTAATCAGTATTATGAATTAGAAGAAAAGATTCTTTCTTGTAAAAGTCAAGCTTTGAATAAATTAAAATGTGTAAACCAGGCAGTTAATCTGTCTGCTCCAACAAATAAGATGTCTGCCAAAACTCCCAGAATTATGTTTACCTGTATTTAATCCTGGAGAAAATTGGGGGAATTTTGGCCCAAAAAGGTAAACGGGAGTGACCAAACCCTGTGAAAACAAAATTTTTTAACCTCAAAGGACGGTAAGGGAAATGCAAAAATTACTCAAAACAAGCTTTTTCCCAATTAGATAAACTTTAAACAAGGAAAGCAGTTGACTTTTTTAAAAGTCACTTATGGAAATATAAAACAAAGTGGGGTTGGACCTAGTAAAATATCATTAAAAATTTTAAAATCCCCCCCAGATCACCTTAAAAAAGTTTACAGCATTTAGATTTAAAACGGGGGGGGCACCCCAAAAAATTTTAAAGTAAAAATGTAATCTGAAGGAATCAGAGGGTTTTATTGAGTGCCATTGTACAGAAAAAATTAAGCTATAAAACATTTAAAAAGGGGACTCCGAACAAGAAACACAAAATTAAATTTTGGGGACTGGGGAAAAAAGGATAGGCCCTACAAAAATTTTAATTTTTTCATTTGCAGACCAGCCAACAAAACTCATTTTAAAGATGAAACCACATAATAACTCGAGGTATCTGTCAATTTTCCCACAAAGGGGAAAAAAATTCCCCCAAAGGTAATAATAAAAAATTTCATTTCCTAAAAATAGTTGCATAGGTACAACAAGTGGGCGGGGAAATCAAAATAATGTTTTCCACAAGGTAAAAAGAAAAAGTCCCCTCCAAAGGGGAAACCCCAGTTATTAAGAAACCAGTCAAAGAAAGGGTACTCTTTTTTCTAAGAATTGCAATGCATAAAAATTAAATGGAATGATAAAGTTGAAACATTAGAGGAATTTGACAAAATTTTCAGGTGTTTAGGAAAATCAAAAATGAAAGGATTTTTCTTTCCCAAATTAAAAAAAATTTTGTTATCAAGGGGCCAAAGGGCATCAAAAATTTTCATGTGAAAGGGTCAATATGTTAATGTTAAATAAAAATTTAAAAAATTTTGAAAATCCGGAAAAAAACAGGGCTAAGTAAAAATTGCTGCTAAATTTAATAATGTGGTTTTGCTAAAAGTATTCTTACCTGTTTTTACAGGAAAATTTTTGTTAAAAAAGGGGCAAAAATAAAAAAAATTGTAAATGCATTTTGGGACCAAGGATTCCAGCGAACTTTCAAAAAAGTAAATGTCTTGATGGTATAAAAAGTACAAAAGGGGAGACCCCAAACTTTAAAATTTTTAATTTTCTCCCCTGAAAAAAAGGGCTAAATCGTATGACTGTT